CCCCCCGCCGGCTCCTCCCGAGCCCCATACCGATGACCATGGTCTCATCCGGGATTTCTTCGATGAAGCAGCGCTTCTCGGTCTCGCCGATGTGGAAGTACAGACCGTGGGCGCTCCAGGCCGCCAACACCACAGCGGCCAAAGCTGCCCGCAACGTCTCGCCGCCCGCCATGGCCCCTCTCCCTCCCCCGGCCCCGCCGGGGCGACACTGCGCATGCGCCGTGGTAGCCCGCTAGCACACCGGGCATGCGCCGCCCGCTTCCCCGAACACAGCGCGCATGCGCCGCTGCCCTACCCGCGCACACTGCGCATGCGCCACCCGCCGGCGGCCACTCACTGGTCCCCACGATACACCTACGGGTGCCCGCTGGGCTCCCGCCGGCGGCGGCCCGCGTTCGCTTCGCTGCGCATGCGCCGTCGCCACAGCGACACACGCATGAGTGGAGCGCCCCCCCGGTGGCGCAGCGGGGAGGGTGTCGCTCCCCTAGCGCTGAGGTTGGCAGTTCGAGTCCCGCTTGGGCTAGTTCTGAGGGGTCCCGGTCATCCCCGGTTGTGTCCCGGTGTGGCCCCCCCCGGAACGATCGGCCTCGGCTGTCACCCCCGGCCGTGCCGAGTCCCTCGGCGGGGCGGAGCCAACCCCTCACACCCCGCCAGCGGTGTGGCAACACCACCACCAACCTCCTTCCTTCCTTCCTTCCTTCCTCCCAGCTGCTGCCCCAGGGCTTGGCCGGGGTTGGGGGGTCCCATGGGTGAGCGGGTGATCGGGGACCCCCCCCACCCCCGGGAAGGACCCGGCGAGGCGGGAGGGGAAGCGGAACCGCGGGGACGATTGCGCCACCGGCAGCCCCCCGCCTCCGCAGGCTGGAAATTTCGGGAGGGGTTATAAAGGCGAGGGGGGCACGCGGGTGGCGGGGATTGGGGTGCCATGGCGTGCCAGCCCGCGCTCACCCTCGCCCTCCTCTTCCTCTGCGCAGAGGCCGAAGGCTTCGCCCTCTGCAACGCTCCCGCCCTGCAGACCAAAGTCTTCCAGTATCGGTAAGTCGGGTGGGGGGGAGCACCCATGGGTGACACCTCGGTGCGGGGGGGAGTGGGGGGGACACGGGACGTCAGGGTGCTGGGGTGAGCACCGCCGTCACCGCTTGTCGTCGGCAGGATTTGGGACGTCAACCAGAAGTCACTTTACCTGCGCAATGACCAGCTGGTGGCCGGGCACCTGCAAGGGGCCAACGCCGCCCTCGAAGGTGAGATGGGAACACGGGGACACGGGGGACACACACACATGTGTCGGGTACGTCCTGATGGCCCCGTGTGTGTGTGTGTCCCCAGAGAGGGTGTTTTGGGTGCCCAACCGCGCCTTCGAGCCCGCCCGGCTGCCCATCATCCTGGGCATTCAGAATGGCACCCGCTGCCTGGCCAGCCCCCCCGCCAGCCAGCCCACCCTGCAGCTGCAGGTCAGGGGACACCGAGGTGATGGGGACGCCACGGGGACACCAAAGGAATGGGGACATCAAAGGGATGGGGATGCCACGGGGATGGGGACACCGTGGGGATGGGGATCCCATGGGGACGGGGATCCCATGGGGATGGGGACACCATGGGGATGGGGACACCATGGGGATGGGGATGCCATGGGGATGGGGATGCCACAAGGATGGGGACACCAAAGGGATGAGGACACCACGGGGATGGGGACGCCAGGGGGACAGGGACACTGCAGGTGGCGCGGTCACCCCGTCTCCAGCCGGCCGCCAGTGACGTTCCGGCACCGGTCCCCACCGCAGGACGCCGACATCAGGGAGCTGCCCCGCGCCGGGGTGGCCTCGGCCGCCTTCACCTTCTTCCGCTCCTACAAGGACGGGCTGTGGCGCTTCGAGTCGGCCGCCAACCCCGGCTGGTTCCTCTGCACCTCGGCACGAGGCCACCAGCCCCTGGGGCTCTCCCGGCACCCCGATGCCACCCACCTCCTCGACTTCTACTTCCAGCTCTGCTGAACCCCCTCGTCCCCCGGGACGGTGACGTCCCCCACCGGGGACGGTGACGTCCCACCAGGGACGGTGACGTCCTCACCCCAGGGATGGTGACATCCCCCCCGGGATGGCAACATCCACCCGGGGACGGTGACGTCCTCCCCCTGGGGACAGTGACGTCCTCCCCCTGGGGACGGTGACATCCCACCCTGGGAATAAAGATGTTTAGGATACCTTGGTCCCCGTGACGTGGGGGTGACAGCGAGGAATGGGGGGGGATAGGGCAGGGCAGAGCAAGCGGTGGCCCCCGGTGCCCGCGTCACCGCGGCGGGATGGCCGGTGTTGCGCCACCGGCTCGTTAGGGATGGGGACGGGACGTCCCCAAGAGGGGTGACGCAGCTGACGGGGCTGCCCCATAGCCGGGTGCCTCCCAGATTCGGCCCTTTCCCGGATTTCACCCGGCGCACCCCAACCGCCGCCGGCACGGGCATGGCGTGGCACGGCACGGCGTGGCATGGCACGGCGGGGATGGGGCACACGGGACTGTGGGGATGGGGCAGATGGGCACCGGGGGGGACAAGGTACATGGGACCACGGGGACGGGGCACCGCGGGGATGGGGCGCAGGGGCCATCCCAGCCACGGTGACCACGGGCATGATGGGGGGGGACACGGGGGACAGCGGGACCAGGTGGTGTTTCACCATCGCTCCGTGTCCCCGTCACCTTCCTCCCGCCCAGCCCAGCTCACTCCCGTACAATTACCTGGGCGGGGTCTGCCCCCCCCCACCCGCCCGGCCCTATAAGAGCCACCGTCACCCGGCGGGGGGACACACACACAACCCAGAGGACACAGGACAGGATTTCCAAAGCTGACGGATTTGCAGGTATTGCTGGGGACAGGGACAAGCTGGGTCCTATGTGAGCGATGTTCTGAGGGCGTTCACTCTGGACCCTACTGACAACTGGGAGCTTATTGGCAACCGGGAGACCAGGTGCATTAGTGGGGATCCCCCACCCACATCACCCGTGTCACCTACACACTACCCTTTCTCTCGCACAGGCTTGGCCATGCCCCACGTGTCCAGACCTGCCTTCAGGTGAGTGGTGACAGGGTGGGGATGGGGTTGTCCCTCCCCTCATACCCGGGGCTTGAGTCACCTGGTGTGGTGCCTGCCCTCACCCCTCTCTCCCCATTCCCGCCCCCCCCGGGCTGCAGCAGGGCCGAGGGTCCCGAGGGACACCTGCAGCAGTCTCAGCCCCTTGGGCACCGGCTGGGTGTCGCGGCGGGGCTGAGCATGGGGACCGGGGACGCGGCGGAGTCTGTCATCGACCCTGACATGGTGGCCTTGTTCGAGGATTTCCTGGGGAAAGGTAGTGCCCGGTGGGCATGGGGGCCCTCTCCCCACGTGTCCCCCATGCTGCCATGCCTCCACCTGCCCCCTCCGTGTTCCCGTCCCCATGTCCCTGTGTCATGTCCCCCATCCGCATGTCCCTGTGATGCCCACACGTCCCCATGATGCCCGTGTTCCCCACCCATGTCCCCATGCACCCATGTGCCTCTGTTCCTGGTCCCCACATGCTCATCACACCCGTGTACCCCATCCCCGTGTCCCCATGTCCCTATGTTCCCTAACCCCACATGCCTGTGACGCCTACATGTCCCCGTGTCCCCATGTCCCCACAGGTCCATCACACCCGTGTCGCCCGTCCCCATGTCCCCATGTCCCTGTGATGCCCACATGTCCCCATGTCCCCATGCACCTGTGCCACCCCCTGTGCCCCCTCCCCGTGTCCCCCGTCCCCATGTCCCCCATCCCCACGTGCCCATCACCCCTGTGTGCCCCATCCCCACGTCCCCATGTCCCCCAGCCCCACATCCCTGGGACGCCCCCGCATCCCCACGTGCCCATGACGCCCCGTGTGTCCCCTCCCTGTGTCCCCACGTCCCCTGGCAGAGGTCTTGGAGGAGACGACGATGTCCTCGGCGGGGGTGAATCCCCTGGCAAAGCCCTACCACTACGTGGTGCGGGACACGGAGCAGAATGGGCTCTGCCTGCACAACGGGCACCTGGTGGCCACCAGACTGCAGGGTGCCAACGCCACCCAGGAAGGTGGGTGCCCTGGGTGGGGAGGGGGTGGCACCCCCACCCATGGGTGCTCCCACCCAACCCATCCGCCCCATCTCCTCGTAGAACCCATCAGTGTGGTGCCCAACCAGTACCTGGAGCGCCGGCGCTGTCCTCTCATCGTGGGCATCCGTGGTGGCACCCAGGCCCTCTCCTGCGGCACCGGTCCTGAGCCCCAGCTGAAGCTGGAGGTGAGCACAGGGTGGGCATCATGATGGGGGGTGGCCCAGGGTGGGGGGGGCACCCAGGGGTGGATCAACCCTAGGTGGGTCAACCCAAGGTAGGCAACCCAAGGTGGGGTCACCCTGGGGTGGTGGGGACCCAAAGGTGGGTCAACCCAAGGTAGATGACCCAAGGTGGGGTCACCCTGGGGTGGTGGGGACCCAAAGGTGGGTCAACCCAAGGTAGGCAACCCAAGGTGGGGGCACCCAGAGGTGGGGCACCCAAAGGTGGGTCAAGCCAAGGTAGATGACCCAAGGTGGGGTCACCCAGAGGTGGGTCAACCCAAGGTGGGGGCACCCTGGGTTGGGGCATCCTAAGGTGGATCAACTCAAGGTGGGCAACCTAAGGTGGTGGCACCCTAAGATGGTGTCATCCCCAGATGGTGTCACCCTGAGGTGGTGTCACCTGGAGGTGGGGGTTCCCCAGGGTGCTGTCGCCTCATGATGGCATCACCTGGAGGTGGGTGTTCCTTGAGATGGTGGCACCTGGAGATGGTGATGGCCACCCAGGTGGTGTCCCAGCAGTGACCCCCCCTCCCATGACAGGAGGTGGGGCTGCTGGACCTGTTCTCGCGGGGGGCCGAGGCCACCCCCTACACCTTCTACAAGACCTTCGGTGGCTCCACGCACACCTTCGAGGCTGCAGCCTTCCCCGGGCACTTCCTCAGCACCACCCAGGGGCAGGGGGAGGCACTGTCCCTGGCCCCCCCCCCTGCCGTCACCAGCTTCTACCTGCTCCGCAAATGACCGCGGCACCCGTGGGTGGGGGAGGCACCCATGGGTGGGGGTGTCCTCCCCACCATCAGTCCCCCCCAGGGTGGGGGAATAAAGCGATGGCGTTTGTCTCAGCTTGTGGTGTGGGGTTTGGGGCCGGGGGGGGGGCAGGATCAGGCCCCGTGGGGCAGGATCGGACTCAGTAGGGCAGGATCAGGCCATGGGGGGGGCAGGATCGGGCTATGGGGGGAGCAGGATCGGGCTATGGGGGGAGCAGGATCGGGCCCCGAGGGGTAGGATCAGACTATGGGAGGGCAGGATTGGGCCATGGGGGGGCAGAATCGGGCCCCGTGG